CATTAAAAAAAAAAAAAAAAAAAAAAAAAAAAGTCGAAGAATAAACCATAGTATTATAAACCAATGAAAGTTGAAGGTGAATGTTTTTTGGGGAATAAGACTACCTTCAGATGATGTGGCATTATCTTGATATCGAAGGGTACATGCAGCCACGCTTCAGGAGAATAGAGTAAAAAATTCTCTGGCTTGCTAGTATAAACATCTGCATATTGATGTATATGATATGCAAACGCAGATTCTTGACCTGTGTCTGTGACGAAGGTGGCTCCGAAAGACTTGTTAAACATTTCCTTCAACTTTTGGCGTGCCTTCCGCCGCTCCTCATTTAGCTCCTCCAACAGCAATTTATATTCTTTACTTGGAACAGTACTAGTCGCAGTTGCGTGCAATTTACCAAGAAGTTCTTGTATAATGTGAAATCTTGCCTGCATCCAGAGAGAATTGAAGAAGGATGAAAAAAATCTGCCAGCCTCAAAAATATAAACAGGTGAAAATGGGTAACTCAAAGCTAAACAGCAACCACAACAAAGTCATTGTAATAAGCTTTTGACGAACTTCTTGACGTCAATAAGAAGCCATGTTAAACTTCCATTAATTGGCAACTTGCAAAGTCAGGAAGGCCCAGCCAACTTAAGGAAATGTGTATAATATATTTTCCTGATAACTTGATGAATTAACAAGACCAGCAAGGGATAAGCAGAAGTAAAAAAGGAAAAGAGTATGAAAAGAGAGGTGCCACAATGATGAACCACAAAACACAGGAGGTACTTTCCATTTAGACTCTGTTCAGATTCTCTCCCTTAATAAGCATTCATACAACTCTTGGCTTGAAGAAGAAATATCCCTTTAAACAAGACGATACGTGCTTCTTGGAACCTAAGATCAACATGATTTCTTTTTTCAAACAATAAAAGTGTTTCATTTCCAGTTTATTATCTCATGCTTTTCGCCGGATTAAGATTAAACAAGAGACAACACATTTGACCCCAATCCCTGTTTGTTCAATTGTTTTAGAACATAAAATTTTACATTCTTAACCAACTTCATATATAAGCAGGGCAATAAAACCAACATCTAATTGGTTGAATCATTAGCTCTGCGGTCTTCACACCTAAATGGTTGGAAGTCCTGATTCCTAAAGGCTATACCTGGTAACATACTGCATCTTTTATAATTGTCCAAAGATTTCAGGATTGCAGGGGCTCTAAATGTGACAAAAAACAAAACAAAACAAAAAAAAAAGAACAGAAGAAAAAAGAAACGAGACAAATAGGAGTATTAAGGCAAATTATAAGACAATGGAATCAACGTCTACAACAAGATAAAATTAAAGTCGACAAGATAAACTATCAGCTATAATCTTATCACAGACGGGGAAAGAAGAAAGGAGCTATAAGATAAAAAGTATTTAGAAATGGTCACTAGACTCAAAAATGAGAAAATGCAGTACGCTCAAGGTGCAAAGCTCAGTTGCAAAAAACATAAGATTAGGTGCAAAGCTCATTTGCATCTATATTCACCAACGTCAAAAATGCAAATACATACAAATAAAAAATAAATGGAAAAAAGAAGAGAAAAAAATTCACAGAAAAATACCTGCTCATGACGGTAAGCATCTTCATTTTGCGTACGAATTTCATCCTGCAGTTATTACAAAACATCTCAATGGCATCACAAACTATGAAAAAATCAAACAATCAAATTTCAAAATATTTGGAAAACAAAAACACCGAGAAGAGTCAGATAAGCAAGCTAAGAACATAAAATAGAATGAAACCATTATTTTTCATCAACAAAAATGTATTACATTTTGACCAAGGTTCTATGGCACCTGATATTTGCATAACACTATAACTGACCTAGATAACCACTTTGATCAAAACCCAGATGGCAAACTATTCAGTTTAATTTGAATTCTCTTTTCTTTACTTATCTCTCTGTTGTTTAACAATAACTAATGATCAGTGTTAATGAGTTCTACCAAGGCCCACCAAGGCCAATGCTATGGTTGAAAACAGTACATAAAACTGCAAAAGGGTAAACAGATTTTGAAAAAAAAAAAAAAAAAAAAAAAAAAAAGGGTAGTTACAGACCATACAAGAAACAAAAAAAAAAAAAAAAAAAGGTAGTTAAAAAACCAAAAAAAAAAAAAAAAAAAGGTAGTTAAAAAACCAAAAAAAAAAAAAAAAAAAGGTAGTTAAAAAACCAAAAAAAAAAAAAAAAAAAAAAAAAGAAGTGTAGTTACAGACCATACAAGAAACAACAAAAAATAACAACGCCGGTCTTTGTTAAACGAACTTCTGAGTAGAACTGGCATGGTCTTTTCTTAGCCTAGTAGAGACCTGTAAAACATGCTAGAAATAGAGAAAAGCCGATAACAGGTGGGCTTCCGTATCGCAGGTAGGTTGAAGATATTTATGAAGACCTCCACAGGTATAACTAATTACTGCCGAGCCAAACTCATTCAAATTCTCTCTCCAGTAACTGGCTTTAAAAATGATCAATCTATCATGACTCAGTTCCATAAGAAACAGCAGCCATTACTACAAAAGAAGAAATAAGCCTAAGAAGAATAATTTCAACAAGTGAAAAGAAAATTTGCTGCAAGCAGCGAGTTGAAAGAAGCGTAATAAATGACATACTTCTAGTTCATGGATGATCGCAGCAGTGCGCCAACCAGCTTTTGAAGGACCTCTCAGGTCACTAAATAGGTGGTCTCCAAAGTAAATCACCTATAAGGCAGGGTATTACATTCATTTATTGCAACATCAAAGAACATTTTCTTGCAACAGATTTTGGTTGAGACTTTTATGGAGTGATCAAATTCCTCAACAAACAAGTAAAGCACGCGAACTACATTGAATAAGTTTTAAAAACAAATGATATCACAAAATATACCTCTGGGCCGTTCCACTTGGTTATTTCGAGAAAGGACTTAAGGCATCCGTGGTAGTAGATTTGATCTGAAAGAAACCTATCGACCTTTGTAAAAGTTAAAGTGTCCTTCTCCGAGTCATAACAACTTCATGAAGGTTCAAGAAAACAGAATAGAGGAAGTGTCAGCATAAAATATAATAAGGGACTTAATGCTTTGTTACTGAAACTAAGATACAGAAAGAACACTGAGAGGCAATTTTTAATTTTTTTTTAAATTAGCAGCCAAAAGCATAATTCTCACTTTCTAAAAGCATCTAAGATGAGTTTGAATGCAACAATTCACCAAGTATAAAACACATCAATTACAAAAGCAAAAATCCTCCACACTCCAGTCACAGCAATTCATAAGGATTACGGAGAACATATCAATAGCAATCTTTGCCTCATTCAAAATGATAAAGTATATCCATAAGACCTCTTTAAACATGCGTGTCTTATTCCCAAGTATGAAACATTCTGGAAAATTAATGTCAATCCAGAAGAAAATATTACAGCGCCATTATTAAGGTGGTGAAACAAAGCCTTATACATGAAAATGAGAGGAAGAAAGGGATAGAGGAATGAAGATGCTAAATATACAGACCGGAATGGATGTTCTGATGTGTAGAAATCTGGCTTATTCGCTTGAGCAATCACAACGTCAAAAAGTTCTCTCCAGGAGTCTCTATCACCCAAAGAATCCTAACCAAATGTGGCGAAGTAAGCTCAAGAAACTTGATAATAACAAACAGAAAGGATCATGAACAATCATGGTAACTGAAACAATGACACAATAAAATAAAATACAGACACACAAATGCATACATATACGTACATATGCGCGCGCGCACATATCAAACCAAATAAGAAACACACACATACTTAATTGCAGGAAAAGAATATTAAAGTGCATGAAAATAGGGCAATATTCAAATTGTGAGTATGAAATCAACATAAAAATCAAATCTGACATTTCATCAACCTTTCACATTTATCTAAGTGCTGATAATTACAAACATTAAATCAATTTGAACGAGAAACCAACCTCCAGAAATATTAAGGCTACAAGTGTAACAGAACATAAACGTTACTCTTAGTTAAGTAGGAGGAAGGTCATCCCTTTACTCCATTCCTTTCACAGGAATGGCAGGACGGCTTTCAAAGGGAATGGAAGGCCCGAATGGGAGGGTAAGGGAGGGGAAGGATAACCCTCCCCCGAACCCCCTCCCCTTCTGTCTAGAGATAGATTGATTTCGTCAATCGATCACTCCCTCAAAGGAGAGCTCTCTCTCTCTCTGTTTTTGGACGACAGGCTTTATCTACTCTCCTATAAAAAGAACCCAAAAAAATAATAATAATAAATACCTCCAACAGAAACCGCATACCGCCATCTACAAAGTAATATGGAGAATTAGTCAGCAAAAATAGCTTTTTCCCCTTTTCCTTCAACATCTTTAGAAAATGTAATAGCTGATCCTGAAATATTAACCACATAATGATCATTAAGTGGCTTCAGAAGAATGACAAATACAGTCATATTACAATGTTATTCCTATGAGAAAAGGCTATGATTACAAATTTCTAACAAAAGATTACCATCTTATAGCCCTAAAGTACATGAGAACATAATGAACAGCATGGGACGCCTACATTTTTAACAAGGTATCTGTAAGGGTCATTAAGAATTCCTCTATGAACCAAGCCACTTTGATGAACATACTGAATGGCACGATTCACATCTTGATACACATAACAAGCATCAAAGTCCAGCTTAGCATCAACAAAATGTTGCACAATATCCGCAATAAGGCATGCCTGCAAAATAACAATAGAGCAAAACATTCAGACGTTAGAAGAAAAGAAATCTATGGATCAAAACACTCTTGAAAGGAACCTATGGACCCATAAAGCATCCAGGCAGTAAATAATCAAACATCAAAGATAAAACAAGTGCTCCATTCAAGTATTAATGCACCAAATAAAAACACATACAAATAGTATAACATGCTTAACATCGGACGAAGCAATATCAATCATAATGCTATTCACCTTTTTCAGGGAGAAAAAAAAATCTTAACACTATTCATCAGAATCCTCGTTATCAATAAAATATAGAATGTACTCAGATTTGTTAACATGGCAATTAAGTCCAACATAGAATCATCTCTTTCTTACAGATAGGGGAAGAAAGAGAGATAATTTGTCTAGCACATAAAGTTTTCTCATCATATAAATATTTGACGAACCGAAGGACATCCTTCTTCTATTAGAATAATCTGCAGTTCCTCCAACATTATTTTCCTTCTCGTTGAAAATTATTCAACAAACTAACCTCACTAAAGCAGAAGAAATCCATTAAACCAACAAGGCCCCGTACTTGATCACGACCAATATGTCGAGTTCCATAGATATCTTCTATCTCCTTCCTGCTAAGCTGGAATTTAAACAACAAATCATATGCCAAAAATTATAACAAGAATAATAGATAATAACAAAAAATAAATCAAAATCTCCATCTCTTTTGAAATAAATGCAATGGAAACATTATTAAGTGACCACCACAAAAGCTAAAATCATATTGTGCACATGTTAAAAATAACAACACATGATCAATGTTTTGTTCAACTCTCTGTATTTAGTATTTTTATTTATTTAATAAAAAAAGTAAAAGACAAAGGGGAAAAATTAGGAGAAATGAATCAAACATATGCTACTGAAAAAGTGAGTTAATAATATGCCTTAATTTGGATTTTAAACTAACCACATTCACCAAATATTCAGGAAAGAAAGGTAAATTGTTAATATCAAAAGTATTCAAGGGGTGGGTGATGAGGACATCACGGATGCAAGAAATACTCACGATCCAATTCAAGTCCCAGTTGGCCTGGTGACGAGGAATTGAACTAAAAGATTCAAAGAAGAGTTAAATAACCTAGTCCGGAGAGATCTACTACAAGAAGAGAGAGTGTTCACTACTCAGGGTGAACAAAGGCTGGTTTTACTCATCAAAGTTGATCCGGAAGAGAGCCAATCAGTCATACACGTCCATTGAGCCATTGCATGGCCAACTTGCATGTCATTCCGGGATACACGTGCAAGGGGAAGTCCAAGCGTGTTTTCCAACAAGAGATCAAGTCAAGATTGCGGATCAAGATTTGATTTCGTTATAATCCTATTTTTAGTTTTAAGTTTCAGTTTAAAATTTGAATTCCATTATAGGCGTGTTTAGAAGGAAGGATATTTTGAGTCAAACTCTGATTCCTTCCTAGGTTTTATTTTAGGCGTGTTTATCTTAATATTAGGCATGTTTATCTCATTAAGGGTATATTAGGACTTTTACAATTTAAAACTCTTCATGAAAGTTTCGGCTATTTAAGCCTAAATTTCAGATAATGCAAAACAGTTTTGATGTTTATTCATATTGTGAGATATTGTTCTTGAGTTCTTGAAGAAACTTTTCCAAACTTATCAAGAATTCCTTGTGGCATTCAACTTGACTTATCAAACGGAATTTACATACTCGTTTGTGGCGTCTTCACCATACCAAGGTTCTTGCTTTGCTAAGCAACGGGTCGCGGTTTCCATCAAACTTGAGAGATCTTGAGTCGTGTCCAGATTTGGTATCGGGTTTCATCACGTTGTTGGCGTGGTTCGTATCAGTTGGTATCAGAGCCTAGAATCGTCAGGTTTTCCTATCATTTTTCTTGTTTATTGCTTTTTCTTTTCTTTGTCAAAAGTCGGGCATTAAGGCTAGGTTTTCAATTCGGCAAAAAAAAAAAAAAAAAATCTGATTGGTAAACTCCCTACTTGCTTTGAGTTGAGTCCAACTACTATTGCTTGATTTCAAATTCCACTAGGTTTACAAACCCTAGAAAACGTGAATTAGGGTTCTAGTGTTTCTAAAACCAACCAAAAAAAAAAAAAAAGAAGCCAGGAAAGGAAAGAAAATCACGAGAACGGCTATAACTTTTGATCTAGGAATCGTTACTTGGCCTATAATATATCAAATCGAAGCTCTTTTCGAGCTCTACAATCTTTGGTCGGGCATAGCCAGCCGACCCTATTTTTTGGGCCAAAATTTGCTTGTTTTCATTAGTTTCGGAACCCTTAAATCTTGAGTGTCAAAAAAAAAAAAATCCGTGACAAAATTTGATTTCGTTTAGTTTGAGTCTCACCTCGATTGGCTGCTTGAATCC